GCAGAATCCAAAGTACCACCCAGAACTACTAAAACAGAATCTGCATTTTTACAAGATTCCCCAGGTGATTGGTTTGCTTACTCACGTTTGAGAGCACTGGTCTATAGTATAGTACTTAAAAAAATGTTATTTCCATTTTGCAGAGGGAAAAATATGTGCAAGGATAAAACTACCCTTTTGATCAGAGAAGGCAAAGAAAGAAGTTTTAACTTGCGAGCTAACATCTATTGATCGATAGAGGCTTCTGAGGCTACTTTCTGTGTCAATGGAGAAGGGTGCCAGGACTGATTGGTGATATCTGCCCTGAGTGTGGGAGGGGAGAAGTCCTGAATGCGCACCATGCATGGTCATCTCTGCTTTAGAAATCATTAAAATGTAACATCATAAATGCTGGTGAAGGCTTTAATGATGTGAGAGACTAAAAATCTGACTTTCCCTGGGCTAGCATTGCCCCCCTCCAGCCCCACCCCTCCTCTTGAATAGATTAGATAGGAGTGAACCAATAAATTTAACATCAGCTAAGTATCACACTCTTATAACAATGCAAAAACCTCACCACAAATTATTTTTAAAGTAATGTCAAGGACATTCAGATAAAATATTTTGAAGTTGAAATGCAACTATACCTGCCTTTTCCTACACACACACATACACACACTACAATACCTAAGGGTCTCGTGCACTCAGTAAAATAAATGTTTGAATTGATCCCCCAAATTGTCCTGTGTACTAAATAGTCCCTAATCCTGCTTTTATTTCCAGCTACCCCACAGAAGAGGAAGAATGACATGCATGTGAAATATATGTGGACTGTCAAATTCTGTATAAGTATGAATATTCACCACCTTCCAGTATCTTGGGAAATTGAGAGTTAATGGAAATATTGGAGATCAAAATATGAAATCGGTTTCCTCTAGGCCTTTGGCCAAGCTCATCCTTGAGTTCCTTCTGATAAAAACAGTGGTTTACACTCAGCTTTCCTTCACGGATTAGCTTGCTGCACTTCAAGAAGGGTACTTAAACAATAGTATGAAAGGGACATCTTCAAGTTCTGTCTATAGTGATCTTATGGGATAATTAGATAAAGAAAACAAGTGTCAACTTATTATGAATGTCTTGGAGACAAAGCCAAAGAAATAATCATAGACTAGTGAGTAAGACCTGACCACATGTCTTGGTGGCTGCTGTTACTACTAAGCTTTATTTCATGGGTCAAGATCAATCTAGCCCCTCAAAACTAGACTTCTAATTCTAATGTGCATTTGGATCAAACAGACCGGTGCAAAGCAGGCCTGCTTTCCATGCCAGGTCTCGGAAGGCCAGCCCATGCTCATGTGCTGGGGAAGCTAATGACTGATGTGCTGCAATGCAGATGGCCTTGCACATTTCTCCATCTTGGTTTAGTTCACGAGAAGAGATACAAACCTAGTAACAATTATGATAACTTCACTTAGCAAGGTGCTTGCAGTTTAAAGCGTTCTTTTTGAAATTTTGGTCTGATGAAACATTTTACGTGCTCGAAACAAGTACCTACTGTTATAAATTCTTTCAAACTGAAATTGGCTTCTCATTCAACTTCTGGGTTTGCTTGTTTCTCAGTTTAGCAGAAATAGAAAACCAAATCTTTTTTCTGCCTTAAAGTTCAAAGAATAAAACAGTACAATCACTTTGGAAAATAGTTAGGCAGTGTCTTGAAGAATTAAACAAATATTTATCACACAACCCAACAATTCCACTCCTGGGTGTCTACCCAAGAAAAATGAAAACACAAAGTTCACAAAGACTTGTGCACAAATGCTCACAGCAACATTGCTCGTAATAGCCCAAAGGTGGAAGCTACCTTATGGTTCATCAACTGTCAAATGGATAAACAAAATGAGGCATTTCCATAATTGGGCTACTATTCAGCTACAAAACCTAATACCTGTTATAATGTGGATGATCCTCAAAAAATATTCTGCTAAGAAAAAGAATCCAGGTGCAAAAGACTACATATTATATCATTTGATTTCTATGAAATGTTCAGAAAAAGGGTTGAAGGTGAGAAGGATTGACTGAAAATGGACACAAATGATTTTCCAGGGTAATGGAAATGTTCTAAATTTGGTAATGTTAATAGTTGCAAAACTCCAAAACTCTCCACACTTACTAAAAAATCACTGAATAGCACATCTAAAATGGTCTGCAGTAGGTTTACTACCTACCTGCACACCTCAATAAAGCACTCGCTCTCTCTCGCTCTCTCTCTCTCTCTCTCTCTCTCTCTCTCTCTCACACACACACACACACACACACACACACACACACACAGAGATTTTCTCATCACCAAGAATAAAGTCCAAAAGCTCAAATTCTCTAGCATGGCATGAAGACCCCCTCTAGCCCCTCTCCTCTAATGAGCTTTATTCCCTCTGCTCCACACATACACAGTAAGGCAGCAACTTTTCACCTTCCCCAGAACATGCTGTTTCACACTTCTGTGATTTTTCACACCTGAAAATGCACAGTCTGTGTTCTCTACTCAGCAAACTCCTACTCATCCTTCAAGACCCAATGTAAATCAAGCTTCTCCAAAATAGCCTCTAAAGTGTCCCAGTCATCAAAATGAGTTCCTTCCTCATTCTGTTCCCATGAAATCTATAATATGTGTGTATATCATTTCTTATTTTTATTATAATCACTTGTTTTCAATGCCATGTCCACTGTGTTGTGGGTTTGAGGGGAGCAGAAAAGTATATACTAATAGCTACTATTTGTTGAACATTTACTCTTTGCATATTACTTTTTTTTTTGCCTATTTACTCATTTTCATGTTACTTCTAATCCTCACTACAATCCTGTAGGTGAGCTATTACTGTCTCCTCTACTTGGGCTCAAAGAGTAAACACCACATGTTCTAGGGTCCCAATGCCTATAAGCAGGAAACAGATCAAGCCCATATATGCTGGACTCCCAAAATCCATGTTCTTTTCACTAAATTGCTTCTGGTTTACAAAGCAGAGCATATAGGGGAAAAAAGATGCATATATTTAATACATTCTAATGATGAAATTATGAGACCTGATTTTTATTTTTTAAGCTTTATTTTTAAAATTTTTCATTGTTATTCTATTTGAGTTGTCCCAATTTTTCGCCCTTTGCCCTCCTCTGCCCAGCCCCCCCTGCCTCCCCCCCCACCCCCACTCCCACAGTTGATTCCCACACCGTTTTCCCTGACCTGATTTTTAGAATCAGATTTATCACACTAATCATATAATGTTGGAAAGGTCATTTGACAATCTGGGCCTCAGTTTCCTTATCAGGAAAATGAAAGGGTTGGACTAGATAATCTCCAAAGTTCCTTCTAGCTGTAAAAACTCTGAATCTCTGTGCTATCTTGCAACCACCGGAACTCAAGATACACCAAACCAGAGCAGACTGCTTGATGCTAATCTAGAATCTCAACACGAGCCTTATCTGGTGATGTCACGATAGCACACTACTGTAGGCTGGTGCATCCCAGCTGCGTGAATGCTTAAACAATTCTGGAGTGGGCCTTGACCAGTTGTTGAAGACTAGGACAGGACACACAACTCTCTCTGACTGTGACTCAATGCTTTATGAGATAGTTCCCAACATATTAACTGCTACATTGCCTTATCTCCATGTCCATCCTAGGACAGGCCATCAATATCACTCACCTAATAAAAAATACTACTGGCATAGTGCCAAGCATTCTACAAGTTGATCTGCAAGGATTCTCAAGCACGGTCTCCTATCCAGCCTCTTCCCTACAACTGATTCACTACCTTGCCAGATAAACTTTCCTGAAACACAGAAGATCTGATTGTGTCATTCCTCTGCTTATAAGCTCCTCTCCTGCCAGCATTCTATTTCTTATACAGTAAAGTCAAAATCCATACTCTGGCTTATAAAATCTTCTGTGGTCTAGTCCCAACCAGTTTCTCAAAACTCTTTTTTACTACTCTTCATAAACCTTGCATTCCAGGCAAAAGAAGCTACCTAAGGTCCTTATATTCAAAGGAGGTTTTTAACATCAGCATTATTTTTATGTTAACTTATTTTAAACACCATGAATCATGCTAAAATTTAGAACAAACTTTCCTAATAGCACACAAACTGGATTCTGTTCATACAATACGTTTATGTAACTCCTTGTGCTGGTTTCTGTTTAGAATGTTCTTTCCCATCATCTTCATATTTCAAATTCTTCAAATGAGCTGACATATTAAGTGGCCGATGTGGTAACGGACATATAAGTACTCAATATATGTCTTTAGCTATTCAAAGCTGCCTTCTCTCCCTCTCTGTACTCACACAATCTCTTCTACATACCTCTCTTACATAACTTAACACTTCCTATTTTGTTTTATAATCACTTAATGTGAATGTCTTAGATTCTCAATGATCAAAAGCTCTTGGAAAACCCGCTCTCTGGTCTTAGTCCTAAGTGTACCCAGCGCTAAGCACACATTACAAGTGCTCAATAGATCTTTCCTTAATGGACAAGGGGAAGAAAGAAAAAAAAAAGATTAATGTGAGAGCCACTCAGGCCACTGGTGGAAACTGACCTCTAAACCGTAATAGGGATGGAGTGGAAAGCTACTATGTGCCAGGTACTGTGCTGAGCACAGTTCATCACTTATTCTATAGAACCCTTTTAAAAAACCTACTTAGTATGTCTGTCAATTTTACTGAAGAGGTGTCAAGGTTAGGGAAGTCAAAATCGTGAGCTAAAGTCAAAAAATGCATCTGTTGGGGTCTTTCCAGTACTATACTTGTCACCGACCCTCTTCCAATTTATCATTGAGGTGGAGGACGTTCTTGAACAACAAGCATCCCCCCGAACCCGTCCCACCCACGGGTGGGTGGAAGGCCCAAGCAAGGGCAATCTGGCTGTTTCCGCGCTGAACAAGTGAAGTGTGCGGGTCACAGCGCGGCGCTACCGGTTCGCACAGGCCCCGCCCGCTGTGCCACGGAGTGACGTCATCACGCTGTGCCGAGGCGGCGAGGGCACGTCCTTTAAATAAGGGCTGTCCGATGCGCGCACGACAGTGTGTGGAGTGGGGACGCAGTTCAGGCCAGGGGCACTGCGGGCCGCGAGGTGGGAAGAAAGGCTGCTTTGCAGTGGGGACGCGGAAGGGAGGCTGCTACCTTGCAGGCGGGCTCATTCTTGAGGGGCGGGAGGACGGAACATGGCGGCACCTTCGGCTGGGACGGGACACTGGGCTCCTAACTCTTGCGCGGCCCCGGCCCCGGCCCCCAACTTAACTGCCCACCTTACTTGCTTTCCTAGAACCTTGTTTCTCTTCTCCTTTAGTTCCCGTTCCTTTTGTCCTCATTGACTCTCCCATACTCCACTCTGGGTCGAAGTGTGACTTACGGATTATGTGGGAGCCGGTCAGGCCTGCCCACTGCCCAGAGACCGACTCCTAAATTTGTAAGTGTCTCACCTACACCTTACCAGTCCGTCCAGGGTGACAGGAGAAGCCCCAAACATGCAGTGGTCAAGCCTGATTTGTAGAAAGGGTGATTCCTCTAAGTGACCCTGTGAAATGTCACTTGAGTTGCCTGGACCTCATTCTCCTCAAAAGTGTGGTGCTCTTTGAAAGATTCTTGATGTCCAGAAAGCTTTTGGCCTGAATTGCTTCCCAATATGCCCCATACCAGAGTGTGACTGGGAAACCCAAAGCAAGATTTATATTGGCAGTTGGAGCTGGGGGAAAGCTGAGTTAAGACGTACTTCTCCACGCCATAATGTGATGCAGTATGGAAGCAATGAGAACACCATTATGTTTCTGCTCTTATTTTCACAGTGAGTATTCTGAGAGTGATATTACTGTAGTAAGTTAAATGGAGGAGAACGTATCCTACACCATCATTGCTGTTCTGCAAAGAGCCTGGGCAACATTCTTCCGTCTGCTGTTTTAGGTGCCCTGACAGGTTTAGGGTAGGTATTAGGACCAGATCCTTACTGATGTGAGTTAACAGCACCTGGTTTAACACCACTCAAACAATCACCTGCTTTTAATGTTGACCTTTTGTTTTTCTTCAGGTGAATGTTGATTCTGGAGAAATCCTGTCTCTGCTGTAGCCTGCATTACTAGGCAGCAGAATTGTGAGCTAGAGTGAAGAAGTCTGAGAATATGAGCTCCATTGTGGCCATGAGTGAACCAAGGCTGAACTGGTGAGCTACATCTGTTTGCAATCGCCTTCAGAGAACTAAAGTGGGACTGGGCTGGTTTAGGAAAGGAGGCTTTCCAAACTGGAGAGATGTGGAGGGAACAGAGAAAATATAAATTCAGTGGCTCAGAATTTACCCTCTTCTTACCTTCACATACTGAACACTTTTGAATTATAGTTAACTGCACTTCATCTTCTAAAGTGGCAGGTCAGCACTCAGATTGCTACTAGGTATGATTCCATCATGTATTTATTGTGTCTTTTATTTTTTAAAACATTTTATGATTTATTTTTAGAGAGGGGGAGAGAGAGGAAGAGAAACATCAGTGTGTGGTTGCCTCTCAGATGCCCCCTACTCGTGACCTGGCTGGCAACCCAGGCATGTGCCCTGACTGGGAATCAAACCCGGAACCCTTCAGTTTGCAGGCCAGAACTCAGTCCACTGAGCCACACCAGCCAAGGCATATTTATTGTGTCTCAGTGAAGGAGAGATGCTGGAATTTTCTTGTGCCCAAGAACCTTACCCACTTCTGTATAAGTAATAAAAAGACTCCCCCTTTAAAAATAGACAAGTTTCTTTTTATCATGTTGGAATCTATATCAAGTGATCATGTAAATGCATAGGCTATTTTAGAAGTGTATGAGAACTTCACAAATAGAGGACTCATTTAAGTATCATAAGTGGCTTTGTAGAGATCTAACTAATACATGTTCTGCTTTAAATTAATTTAACACACATTTACTTAGCATCTGCAATTTGCTAGCCAAGAAAAGTACAAAAGTTACAAGAGATTATAGAAATAATTAAAATAGTACCTGACTCAAAGAAGATGCAATCAGTATGTGCTCAATAAGTATTTGCTTATTACAAACAATGCTCCCTTCCCCCAAGGAGCTCACAATCCCTGAGGCCCATGACTTTGTTTTTGTATGATATGCAAAAACCTTAAAATGTAATGAGATGGCACAGATACAGTACCATAATAGTAGTAAGAACTGCACTGGTGAATAGCAAGTAAGACATTCTAATTTTACCATTTATACTTTCATCTTTTTGGGGGGGAGGGATATAAACACCTTTAAAAACAGTAAGAAATGAATGTGGAGCAAATGTGCTAGAATTTTCCATTTGGGGAATGGGCCAGCCAGAAGTTGCCATTTAATTGGAGGTATACACAATAATGCTCTTTGCCATAAAGTGTGTGTTCAGATGCAGCACAGTGTTCTTGTACACCATTGACATTGTGAAACCAAGTGTGGTTTCGAGCATTTGCAAAGCATTATAGCCCTTGAACTCTCCTCTTCCACAGATTTCTACTAATCTTTGTCTTCCCAGGTTAATGGTTCTCAGTGTTTTTAGTTTTTTAATTCCTTCATTCAACTAGTATTTATGGAATGTTTACTAATGGCAAACATTGACTGTACTAATCTCTAAACTATTTATGTTATGGAAAATCATATATGACCTTAGAAGTAGTTTTAGTAGAGGCATACCATATATCACATTTGCCAAGGTAATGGAGATAGGAAATATGCAGTCTTTGTGGAGCATGAACAAAAATAAATGAGAAGCATTTTCTGTCAGTAACCAGACATAACATTTTGCCCAGAGCCAGAGGTGAACCCTGCTCCTGACAGATCTCATATTGTGCTTTAATCTGTCCTATCTTTCACACTTTAGTATCTCTGACACTTATTTAAGGGGTTACTAAAGGCAAAGCAAAGCTGGTTGTTGGAATTGGGAAATTTCAGAATGGCTCTACGCTAAAAGCTATTTAAGAAGGAAAACATCTAAATTCATACATCTGGTACTTGAAATTAAAATTATTAAGAGGTGATTGTCTAAGAAAGGGGCTGCAGAGAGCATGTCATTATAAATTACAATTGTATACCATTATATTGCTTACTCTAGCAGGAGATTTTGAATTGCCAAATGCAAGTAAATTACTTTGCTTCACAGGGATGTCTCCTCAAAAAATGGCCTTAAGACATTTTTCTCTCGAGAAAATTATAAAGATCATTCCATGGCTCCAAGTTTAAAAGAACTGTGCACTTTATCCAGCAGGTAATATGTTTATTTATTTGGTTAACTTTCCATATTTGGTTGTTATTTTTCTGATAGTTGAAGTTTTATATCTACAACCACTATTAAACATTCAAATTATAGAAATATAAAAATTAGAAAACAGAAGAATTCAGTACCCAAAGATGACCTCTCTTTGGAATGTATCTTTTCAGACCTTTCTCTAGCCATTAACAGATGAATAGATATTAAAACAAAAATAGGTTCATATTATATTGGGTAAGCCAAAAAGTCCATTTAGTTTTTTCCATAAAAGACACATTTTTCATTTTCACCAATAACTTTCTAGATTTGGATATTTGAAGTATGTTGGCTATCTCCTGCTATTGGCTCCTAGTGGGTAGGGACCAGGGGTGCTGTTAAACATCTTCCAGTGCATAAGACAGCCCCACAGCAAAGATTTATTTGGCCAAAATGTGAACAGTACCAAGAAATTCGCAAACCACTTTTGACATGTTCAGTCAGTCACAGCACCTTCTCCATATACTGCACAAATATTTTTTTGTGTTTCAGTTAGCATTTTTGCCTTTCTTAAAATAATAAAGCATAGTACACTGAAAATGTTGCATATTTTCTTCTACCTTCAATATTAAAATAGCTGCACAAAAACACCTTTTCTGATAAGTTTTTTTTAAATGCATGCTGATATGACAGCTATCACAATACAATCTAACAAAATTGTTTTCAATGAAGTTAAAGAGAGCTAAGTACTACTAGAGCCATCATATGGAAAAAACTAAACGAACTTTTTCTATGCTATATAACACTACAAAAGTCATATAATACTACAAATACTATAAAACTTTTATAGTTTGTTTTTTCATTTAAAATAATATTTCCTATATCTTTCTAGATCTCTGCATATAGCTCATCTTCTTAATAATTGCATATTACTTCATTATGTAAATGTACTTTTTAATTCATTTAGCTAGTCATATTGTCAAATGTTTGTGTTCCTTTTTTGAAATTATAAACTTTACATCTATGAACTTTTTGTAGTAATTTCTGAGATAAATTCATATAAATGGTTATATGGCATATAATATTTTAATAGATACTACCAAATTGCCAGGCTTTTTCCCCCCTCTCTGGAATGAAAATACTCATTAATTAATCATTTTCCCTTCTCACTGCTTGCTTGACTTCTAACAGCTCTTCTTTCCTTTGTGATTGGTTGTTTCTACAGTATTGTGAATGGATCTTGAAACAAGTAATCAGGTTTACTAGAAATGAGTAAATATGCCAAATGAGGAATTAGGTACTTCTGGGGAGCTCAACATTTACTTTCATCCTTTGTCCCCTCATTTTGCAGTAGAAGAAGTACTATATTTTCAGCCTCTTCATCAAATGGGACCCCATCTTTTCCTGCCTTCTCAGTACCCTTTCTGTCAATTAACATCCCCTCTTACTCCTGTATCTTTGTTCTCTCTGGATCAGTACAGGCATGCCTCATTCAATTGGGCTTCACAGGTATTATGTTTTTACAAATCAAAGGCAAGACCACTACCTACAAAAGATTATCACTTGCTTTATTGCGAAATTTGCTTTATGCAGCGGTCTGGAACCAAACCTACCATAACCTCAGAGGTATGCCTATATTTAAAAGTGTTTGTGTTTTTCCTGTCTTTAATCCCTGGTCATCAGATTCCCTCCTAATTACTTTCTTACCCCTTTGTCCATTTACGCTTAGACCCCTTTAAAGACTTGTATATGCATGCTGGGAGGAAATGAGAGACAATAGTACTGACATGCTGAAACAATAAAATGGCAATAGTAAGTCCCTCCCTATCAATAATTACTTTAAATGCACTGAACTCTCCAATCAAAAGACAAATTAGGAGAATGGATTTAAAAAACTGTATTAAAAAACTTCTCTTCATTGTATAGCTCACAGGACTTATATTCACAGAACATCCCACTGTAACCTGGCTTCCACCCTGTATAGTCTAAGACTGCTCCTCCCAAGATCATTAAGCTATTGACTGAAGAGATATCTTACTCCCCTAGTTTTCCTCCTAGTCTGGTGACTGTGGAGTTTCTCAGTCTTGTTTGCCATCTTCATTGTTAGTCTTACCGTGCTGGTTCATCAGACTGTGGATCTTTAAAAAAAAACAAATACTGATTTTGCAGTCTCAACCCAACCTTTTTTTTTTTTTTTTTTAAGATTTTGTTTATTTTTAGAGAGAGGGGAAGGGAGGGAGAAAGAGAAGGATTAATGTGTGGTTGCCTCTCACTGAGGCAACCCCTACTGAGAGCCTGGCCCGCAGTCCAGGCATGTGCCCTGACTGGAAATCAAACCGATGACCTCCTGGCTCGCAGGCCAGCACTCAATCATTGAACCACACCAGCCAGGGCTTAACCCAACCTTTAGCATTTCAACCTTTGAGTATGTGTCTGTGGAATCAATTAATTAACCTTATTGATATTCATTTAGGTCATCTCTGTTCCTTTACTACTATAAACAGCATCCTTTTTATACATGTGCTGGTATAAGAACTAGAATAAATTTCTATAAGAGGTGGGTTTGTATGTGTTTTTTATTTTGACAGCTATTGCCAGATTGCCATTAGAAACATTAACGAAACAAGCACTCCTTTTGATTCCATCAAATTAATACGTAGGTTTATATAAAAGCAAGCAAAAATTGTGTTAAAGAGACAATTTCAAAAATAAATATTTTAAAAGAGGCAATTTCAGAAGCAATTTTCTTCTTCCCAAACTGCATAATTATGTCTTGGCTAATGTCAGCTATATATGGGTAAGATAATAGATCCCTTATATATGTACATCTGTGGTTATTTGTTATTCAACTTGTACTGTGTCTTAGAGATAAGTAATTTCTTTCAAACTTACTAAATAAAGAGTTGCCTTTGTTTATTTGAATAATAGAATGTGTACCAATTCTAGTATCCTGGTATTTAGTGAACATACAGCTTTACCTTAAAAAAAATTTCTCACAGTTTCAAGAACTTTTATCTCAATCATCTTTTTTTCATCAAACTAAAAATTTCGAATATTAATCTTTTTTTATCTTGCCACTGCTTCTCAATTATTTTAATGGCTGTTTACAAGTCCACTCCCTTCAGCATATTCCAGGTGTGGGTTATAGTCTGGATTGTGTAAGGGAGAGGACATTTTACTGGCATTAGGGTTCACCTAACTCCTAAAAGTTATTCCCTAGAATATGCTTGTTTTTCTGTAGATTTCTATATAGCACAAAATAATTTTTATTATAATTTACCTTTTAATATAGAAAAATAAAGACAAAAGCATTGATTTCATATATTTCTAGTCTTTTTTGCTAACCTTGAGTTTTATTAAGTTTTACAGTAAGGAATGGATTTTCAGACTGTATTAATTTATAACTGTTTTCTTGAGTGAAAACTAGGAAGAAAATAAAATTTTTGTTGCCTTTAATTTTGTGTTTTTATTCTCTAACATTTGGGAAGATATTAAGAACGCTAATTACACGACTTTCAAACAATGTGAAGTTTTTGTGCAGCCCTTCATTGAAAGGTAAACATTTGCCTTCTTTTCAAATTGAAAGTGTCTGGTTGTAGACACTTATACCTGCCTTGCCAACAAGGGGGTAAGTAGCTGTAAATAGAAAATCAACTATTAAATTTTAATGTGTTTAATATAGAAAAGTAAATCAAATTTGGGAGGTAGAAGTAGACTTCAGATAAAGACTAGAAAAGCAAGCTCCATTTCCAAACGCTACTTAAAGGAGCGCCCAAACCAGCAGACTTAAAAATTAGGAAACTTGAACTTTTGAATTCTGGTTTTTTTCCATAGAAACTTTAAGTGAAAAAGGAGAATCAGTAATAGACAAAATGAAGGGGGAAAACTTCAAACCTTCAACTAAAATAAAATATAATGCTGTAAATGTGGGTAGAGAAAACCTGTCAGATGCTTTTGGCTTACACCCTGATGAAGATTTTGACAGCACTGCACACGGAAATGATCTTGATGTGCTGCCATTTCATTCTCTGCTGAATGTAGCCAATTTAAACTGCTAGAAATTCTTGACATTCCTACTCTGGCATATCTGAGTCAGCATCTTGTTGCTGCAGCAGCTTAATTAAATTTGCCAGCTTGTGCCACAAGGACAGACATGTTCTCATATTCAGAGAGACAACTGTGAAGCAGTATTGTTAAGAGTTGTGGACACAATACTGTAAGGTTTGAATAGCTCTCAAGACATTTTCTAGTGAGAAATCAATTTGCTGTGATATATTTCTCCCAAGATCAGCAGTTAATATTCATTTTGTTAACCTAAAATATGCTTATTTTTATACAGTTATGGGAAAAACTTTAGTCATTAAGTATGTCTTCTTTCACCTATATTATTTTCAGAGGCAATCTAAGCATTCTTAATTTGCATAATTCTTTTCCCATTTACTAACCACCTCTCTTGATTAATTTTCCAGCCATAGTTTAGCTCTAAAAAAGTAATCTTGAATATTTCTGCTTTGTTTGGGACCTCAAATCTTCTAAAAATTTTTTAATTTTTCCCATATTTGTAAAGTTGATTTAAAACAAGTCAGTGTTAGTTTTGGATGGAGCTTAACTCGCCCTTTGTTCAGGTTCAGATCTAGACTGGTAATTCTCAACCTCATCAGGCCAAAACCTTCCCATTTTCGTAAATACTTATACAAAATAAGATACCTCCTTTACTAGCCTGAATTGAAATTCTTAGTTAATAATACCCACAGATATAATATTTAGAAATAATATCCTAGATATATAAATATGAATAAAAGAAAAATAATTTATATTCTAATACATGTTTTAATGTGTAAATTCCTACAATACTACAGTAGAAATACTACAGACAGATATGATGAAGTCAAATGTACCAGCTAAAACGAATAAGGTTGGATTTAAGAAATGTAATATAAACTATACTATAAAGCAGTGATTTTTCAACTGGTGTGCCTCGGGATTTTTAAAACATGCAGTACCTATTTTGTCAGGGACACTGACCTCTTTTCCCTTAGATTGTCAAATGAAAAAATGACAGCAGCCAAGAAAATAATAGCCATCCAATGTGAGTGAATCAAAATTATACCTATTTTTGTCAGATCAGCAAAATATATATTTTTTTTAGTATGCTGCAGAATTTTAGTAATTAGTTTATGGGTGCCATGAGATGAAAAAGGTTGAAAATGACTGCCATAAAAGAATCATAAAAAAAAAAAACAAAGAGAATAAAATGTATTGTTAAGATAAGTAATAACAAGCCCTGAGTAGTTCAGTTGGTTAGAGTGTCATCCTGATACACCAAGGTTGCAGGTTTGATCTTCAGTCAGGGCACATACAACACTCCATCAATGAATGCATAAATTAAGGGGAACAACAAATTAATGTTTCTTCCCTTCCCTTCCTTCTTCCCTTCTCTCTCCTCCATCTCTCCCTCTCTCCCTTCTTTCCTCCCTTCCTCTCTCTAAAACCAGTAAATAAAAGAAAAAAATAACAACAGACCAGACCTACTTGTATATGATAACAGAAAGCCTGAAGAGACCTTTGGAAGTTGTGCCGAACACCATCATATGTTACAGCCAGGAAGTATTCCTCGCCTCTAAATGCCTTCAATTCTTTCCCTCTTTTGACAACCCAGATGCATCCACAGGCTTCCAAAATGCTCTCAGGGAATTAATACTGTTATAACTGAGAACCACTGCTCTGGATATTTCCTGCTTGTCCCACTCTCCCTCTGAATTCCTGATCTTGATGTCCTTAGGATTCTGCCCAGTCACCTATTCAGTGTGTTTAGTTTGCTAACCTGAGAGCTCCACAGCCACACTGTATTGATGTACATATTTCACTTTCTTTCTTCCCCATTCATTTTATCTGCTTGATTATAAGGTCCTAGAAAGTAGAGATTGTATCATGCTCAATATTAGTTGTATCTCTAGTACCCAATATACGTCTGGCATATGGTAGTCACTCAATAAATATTAATGAGGAATAAAGAATGAATCAATAGACATTCCTCTTTCTCATTACTTTTCCTTTCTCTTGGGTTATCATTATTAAATTTGGAACAAATATAGGGAATAATTACTGTCATAGAAATTAGAGTTGTTGAGGCTAAGAAAATTTAGTGTGTGTGTGTGTGTGTGTGTGTGTGTGTGTGTAACCAAGTGAACCAGGGCTTGTCTATGTGGTGCCTTGATGAATGACCTAACAATTAGTGTTGGTGGAAATAGGCTTTTATTTACAGGATTCCTACCTTGGGGGGCTGAGAGCACTCCTGCTCAGAGCCCTGCTATTCCACGACCCAGCATTTTCCTTGCTTCCCAAAAGGCTATAAGCCAGAACCATGCCCAGAAGTTCCCTATGTCCCTATCTGTTCTTAAGCTAGCTGTGCAAACAGGTCTCCATCTCCTCTGGAAGGTTCTCTTGTGGGTTTCAGAGTCTCCATCCTCTTGCAACAGCTCTCTCCTTCACGATCTGGGGTACGTTGTCCTCAGCCTCTACATAAAGTTCAGGGATACATGTGTCATGTTACACTGGATCATGGTGGAGTCCAGAGAGGGAAATGTCCTAAGAGAGTGACTTCTCCATACATCCTTCACAGAAGCAGAAGTCTGCAGCTCAGCAGTCCCATTTTGGCTCCAAGCACCTCCCACAAATCCACACTTGGTTAGGCAGGTCCCCGCACAGCTCCATCAGCTCTCTTCTTAACACCCTTTCCTCCTGCATGGTTTCTTCCTCCCTTTCAGACCCCATGGAGGAATTCCTCCTTACTACCCTAGGCTACATGGCGGAATCCCCTTCTCTTTCAGACTGCCCTTATTTTAAATGCTTGGCCCAGAACTTCCTGACTTCACATTCCAGTCCCTCCTGTGATGTGCTACATTTGCAAATTCCCCCATATCTTTTACCTTCTTTCAGCTGCCATCTTCAGTCAAGGCAAGAGTTCCTCGTGGCATGGGCATCCAGGGTGGGCATCCACTTCCCCTGGCTATGTCATGGGTCATTTGACTCTCTGAAAGCCACTTACACCTTTTGCCCAGGGCAGTAGCACAGCTATTAACTTGCAACAGGTATGCAAAATATCTTAAACACCGTATCTGTATTGTCTACCTCCCCCAACCACTGTTTGTGGGGAGTATATCAGGGGCTGCACCCCATTACATGTATACTTTAAAACTTAATTAAAATGTAGATTATAACAGCTAAATATCAGGAATAAAGACAGTATGAACAAGATAATAAATTTGTATTCATATACTTCAATTGGAGTGGTAAGGTGCTTTTTCCAAAATTGGGGATAGCTTTTCATAAACAAATATGGCAACAGGTTCTCTAGCTACTCACTCCAGTGCATTTCATTATAGATATGCCAAGGTTCTCTTTTGTATCCACACAAAGCATAAGGACATTTCCATGGATTTAGCCATGTACGCGAGTGCTAGAGGATTATACAACTTCATATTTTTTATAAAATATGACACACAGGTGGAATTTTCTCTTTAATTCTTGAGATAATTGAAGCAGAGGAAACCAGAGAATTAGAGTTTCAGTGAATTGGCTAACTTCAAGCCTGTGACCATATCATAACCTGCTCTCTGGCTTTTGTTCATCATAGTAAGTGATATATTTTATTGAAAAATTTAATAAGCATTGTAAAGCAACTAAAATGTAAACATGAAATACCTGCATATATAATTGGCAAGAGTGATTTACCACTCTTCAATAGAGGGAAAAAACTTTCAAATTGAGTAACTTGTCTAAGGAATATGCCTCTTCCTTTCCATCAGATAATTGAAGGTGAGCTTGTAATGTGATCCTATCCTGCAGAATACTTAATTTACACAAAATAGCTAGACATCAGAATGCAGGTGGCAAAGTTAGATAATAATTCAGAATGTACTGTGTTAATCATGCTACATTCTCCCTGGTGATTAAGAATCATAAAGTTCCATGATAGTAATCTTCATGTGAAAAGCACATATTTGTAAATTGTATTTTTTTTCCAGGCGTATGGGAGAAAATTTGAATGCATCAGCAAGTTCTATAGAAAATGAGCCAGCAGTTAGTACAGCAACTCAAGCAAAGGAAAAAGTTAAAACCACAGTTGGAATGGTTCTTCTTCCAAAACCAAGAGTTCCTTATCCTCGTTTCTCTCGTTTCTCACAGAGAGAGCAGAGGACTTATGTGGACCTCTTGGTTAAGTACTCAAAAATTCCTGCTAACTCCAAAGCTATTGGAATAAATAAAAATGACTACCTGCAGTATTTGGTATGTGTTCTGTTCTTCAACTTCAGTAAAAAACATGCTTAAAAGTTAGAAATGTTTTAAATTTGCTTTTATGTTTTACAAGGGGGCGAGTGGAGCAGAGGAGAATGGTGGAGGGGGAAATGGAGAAAACTGTACTTGAATAACAATAAAAATTTAAAAACAAATAAAAATCATAAAAACAAAAGTGGACAATGTAAGGAGATTAATTGATGGACAAAATGCTGCTGTAAGCCTTTCATTGGTCATGGTACAGTTCTGGCAGGTTGCTCTTGTTCTAAGCATATTTCTCTCCAGTTCATCTTAAGTACTGGTAGTAGAGCTTTGCATGGGTCCAGGAACCAAGTCAAAATTTTTATTACTTTAATTAAGTAGTTTCCTATTCTCAACTATATAAATGATGCTATACTGACATCATTGTTGTAAACTCTGCTTATATCTATGATTGTTTCCTTAAGATAAAGTTTTTAAAATAAGCCTGCCCTATCAAGAGCTATCAAGGCTTTGATATGCATTTACCCATAGGTAAATTGCTCTACAAAAAGTTTAAACCAATTTCTTTTTACCACCATTGTATGGAAGGGTTTTTTGTTTTCGTTTGGCTTTCAGTATCTTCACTAATACTGGGCATTACCTTTGTTTTCCTCTCATTCAATAGGGTGAAATGGTGATCCCTTGTTTTTCATTAATTTACAGTGATTGCTAATAAAATAAGTATTTCTCGTGTGTTTATAAGCCATTTCTGTTTCTTCTTTTGTAATTTACCTATTCATTTTGTTTGCTCATTTTTCCATTTGGGGTGGTATTTGTTGTTAATTAAGAACATTTTATAAAATAAGCTTACTAATTCCAAAGTGTATATTGTAGTATTAGTCATTTCCTTTTCTTTTTTTGAAGAGTTTTTAGTAACAAGTATGTCATTATTGTATAATATTTTAATTAGCCTTTTGTATGTGATTTTTGCTTTGGATGTGATACTTTTAATTACTCTTTAATTCCAACTTATTACAGCAGTGATTGAGGTGATCGTTTTTAACCAAACTGCTTATTCTACATGTCTACTTTTTTAAAAACTAGGATATGAAAAAACACGTGAACGAAGAAGTTACTGAATTCTTAAAGTTTTTACAGAATTCTGCAAAGAAATGTGCACAGGATTATAATATGCTTTCTGATGATGCACGTCTCTTCACAGAGGTAAAAAAACAAAAACTAACATTTACTTAAATTGCTGAGTAATAGGCAATAGCAGGATTTTAAAGTGTGTGATGATCCTGTCAAATGCATATGGAATTTAGAGATCAAATAGTTTTTTATGATGTATGTGAATAATAGAAAAATTATGCTAATGTGTCAAAATCATGTACTATAGTATATTCTTTTTTTCTTTTACTGATCCAGCTACTGTATTTGAGAGTTAATATTTTACTCACATGGATGCTTTGATATGAGGCAATGATTTCCTTTATGAGGTAATGGGTATTTAAGGAGTTAACTTTAGTCATTAAAAATCTAAATGGTCCTTTAAAACTTAGTCACATAAATTTGTATTTATTATCTTTGTGGTAACCAGCTACCAAATGATAATTTTCAACTGTGAGTGCATTTTTTATATAATACATGCAAATTTATTGGTAAAGCATGTAAGTCACTCTGCCTTTATACCTCACCATCATTCATTGGGCCTGGAAGAAATTTAGAGTAACCTACTTAAGTAATTACTATTAATATATGCACTTGACCTTTAACACAACACAGGGGTTAGCTTTAGCAACCCCCCCACACACACATACACACACAGTAAAAAATTTGTCTATAACTTTTAACTCTCCAGAAACTTAACCTATTAATAGCCTACTGTTGACCCAGTAGCCTTACCAGTAATATAAACAGTTGATTACACATTTTGTATGTTACATGTATCATAAACTATATTCTTGCAGTAAAGTAACCTAGAGAAAAGAAAATGTTATTAAGAAATTCATAAGGAAAAGAAAATACATTTATAGTATTTATTGAAAAAAAATTCACATATAAGTGGACCCATGCATTTCAAACCCATGTTGTTCAGGGTCATCTGTATTATGTATAGAGTTCATCTACCACACCAACACCAGTCTGGATTTTTCTTTTAGGCCTTTAAAACTGGTCACTGTACACAACAGTGTGATACACCTAACACTATTGAACTCTACACTTAAAAATGGTTAAGATGAATTCTGGCCAAGATGGAGGCATAAGTAGAAACCCTTTGCTTCCTCACACAACCAAAAGGAGGATAACAAGCCATCTAAAATCAATAAACAACCAAAACTGCCAGAAAATCAAATTGCATGGAACTCCAACAATCAAGGAATTAAAGAAAAAATCAACCAGAACAACCAGACTGGCAGCCCCAAAGCGCAACAAAGAGGGTTCCCCTGTCTGGGTGAATACCTAAGGGCCCGCCCCCTTACAACCTATCAGCTGTGCCAAGACAAAGAAATATGGCCCAAATGAAAGAACAGAGCAAAACCTCAGAACTAAGTGATGAGGAGATTGCTAGCCTATCCAGTGGAGAATTTAAAGCCCTGGTAATCAAAATGCTCACAGAACTCATTGATCTTGGTTGAAAAATGCAAGAACAAATGAAAGATACCCAAACTGAAGTAAAGCAAAATATCCAGGGAACCAACAGTGACAAGAGGGAAACCAGGATTCAAAGCAACGATTGGGAACAAAAGGGAGAAATAAACATCCAACTGGATCAGAACGAAGAATCAAGAATCTAAAAAAATAAAGAGAGGCTGAGTACTTTCTGGGACAACCTGAAACATTCCAATATGCGAATTATAGGCGTGCCAGAAGGAGAAGAACAACAGCAAGAAATTGAAAACTTACTTGAACAAATAATGAAGGAAAACTTCCCCAATCTGGCAAAGGAAATAGACTTCCAGGAAGTCCAGGAAGCCCAAAGAATCCCAAAGAAGAGCACACCAAGGCACGTCATCATTAAGTTACCCAAGATTAAAGACAAAGAGAAAAGGAGACAGTTACCTACAAAGGAGTTCCTATAAGACCATCAGCTGATTTCTCAAAAGAAATCTTACAGGCAAGAAAGGGCTGGAGAGAAGTATTTGAAGTCATGAAAGGCAAGAACCTACATCCAAGATGACTCTCTCCAGCAAAGCTTTCATTTAGAATGGAAGGGCAGATAAAGTGCTTCCCAGATACGGTCAAGTTAAAGGAGTTCATCATCACCAAGTCATGATTATATGAAATGTTAAAGAGACTTGTCTAATAAAAAAAAGATTAAAACTATGAACAGTAAAATGACAACAAACTCACAACTATCAACAAATGAACCTAAAAGAAAAGAAAAACAAAAACAAAAAGTAAGCAAACAACCAGAACAGGGACAGACTCAGAAAAATGGACATCACATGGAGGGAGTTCAGTGGGGAGGGGGAAGGGAGGAATGGTGGGGGAAGGTACAGGGAAGAAGAGGCATAATTAGTAGCCATGAAATAGATGGGGAGAGATAAAAAATGGTATAGGAAACAGAGGACTCAAAGAACTTATATGTACAAGCCATGGACATGAACTAAGGGGGGGATACTGGAGGATTGGGGGGGTAGGGTGGAGGGGGGATAAATGGGGAAAAATTGGGAAAACTGTAATAGCATAATCAGTAAAAAAATACCTTTAAAATAGTTAAGATGTTAAGGTTTGTGTGTATTTTATTACAATTTGTTAAGATTTTTATTTATTTTAGAGAGGGGGGAAGGGAGGGAGAAAGAGAGAAACATTGATGTTTGGTTGCCTGTCGCACGACCCCAACTGGGGACCTGGCCCACAACCCAGGCATGTGCCCTGAGTTGAGCAGAATGGGCGACCATTTGGTTGGCAGGCCAGTACTCAATCCACTGAGCCACACCAGCCAGGGCTTGTTACAATTGTTTAAAAATTAGGTTACTGGATTTTTAAAACCCTTTTTAGGATGAAATTTTGTTGTTAGTATGAACCAGAAGAATGATTCTGCTAAATAAAAAGAATTCCACTTTTATTTTCTCTGAACTTAAATGTAATGTACTCAGTGTTATGTTTTTTCCATGTGGAAGAGGAGCTGTAGCTATTACTATTTTAATAATGCTTTTGAAGTTATCAGAATGATAGTTGTAAAAATAAATTATATCTCTTCATTTCACTGGTTTAAAATGTCTCCTTATCTCATCAGGAAGAGACAGTCTGCACAGATCAGCCCCCAACCCCCAGGCTGCTTGTCTTCTACCTACCTTACTCCAGGTGGTTCCGTGTCAGTCTTCTGGCCTCTCTGTTTCTTGAATACTCCAAAAGACCTTTGTCTGTTTCCAACTTTCTGACAAGCTGTTCCCCAGATACCTGCGTGGATTAGTACCTTTATCCCTTCAGGTCTCTCTCTGTTCAGATGCCAACTATCAATAAAGGATGTTGCTAATTACCTTCTAAAAAATAACATCACCCTTAGTGTTTGCTTTACCATGTTTTATTTTTGTTTATTATCTTTCTTCACAGTGCCTATAAGTAAGTACTCTTCTGTGCACTGCTATGTTCCCAATGACGGGAATAATGCCTGGCATACAACAAGTGCTCAGGTGTTCAGTGTAATTATTAAAGTGAATATAAAAATGTTTATTAACAGAGTACCCTATTTGGTACCTAACAATCAACATTATGTCATGTTTTTTTAAATTTTTTAAAATATATTTTATTGATTATGCTATTACAGTAGTCCCATCCCCCCACTTTATTCCCCTCCACCCCACTTCCCACTATCATCCCTCCCCCCAGCCCTTAGTTCATGCCGGTGGGTCATACATATAAGTTCTTTGGCTTCTGCATTTCCCATACTATTCTTAATCTCCCCTGTCTATTGTGTACCTACCATTTATGCTACTTATTTCCTGTACCTTTTCCCCCATTCCCCTTCACCCCCCTCCCTGCTGATAACCCTCTGTATAATCTCCACCTCTGTGATTCTGTTCCTGTTCTGGTTGTTTGCTTAGTTTGTTTTTGTTTTTAGGTTCGGTTGATGATAGTTTTAAGTTTGTTGTCATTTTACTGTTCATAGTTTTGATCATCCTTTTTTCTTAGATAAGTCCCTTTAACATTTGATATAATAAGGGCTTGGTGATGATGAACTCCTTTAATTTGACCTTATCTGGGAAGCACTTTATCTGCCCTTCCATTCCAAATGAAAGCTTTGTTGGTCGGAGTAATTTTGGATGTAGGTCCTTGCCTTTCATCACTTTGAGTACTTCTTTCCAGCCCCTCCTTGCCTGCAAGATTTCTTTTGAGAAATCAACTGATGGTCTTATGGGAACCCCTTTGTAGGTAACTGTTTCCTTTTCTCTTGCTGCTTTTAAGATTCTGTCCTTATCTTGGATAATGTAATTATGATGTGCTTTGGTGTGTGCTTCCTTGGGTCCAACTTCTTTGGGACTCTCTGAGCATCATGGATTTCCTAGAAGTCTATTTCCTTTTCAGATTGGGGAATTTCTCCATTATTTTTTCAGATAAGTTTTGGATTTATTGCTCTTCTCCTTCTGGCACCCCTATGATTTGGATGTTGGAACATTTAAAGTTGTCCTGGAGGTTCCTAAGTCTCTCCCCCTTTTTTAAAATTCTTTTTTCTTCATTCTGTTCTGATTGAATTTATATCTTCCTTCTGGTCTGAAGCATTGATTTGAGTCCTGGTTTCCTTCCAGTCACTCTTAGTTCCCTGTTCATTTTCCTTTATTTCACTTCACATAGCCTTCACTTTTTCCTGTATTTTGTGTATGTCTTGTTTTTTTTAGCCAGATTGACTTGTCAAAACATTTCATCTCAAAATTTATATTTTACATCTCCACCCCAAAGATTCACTGGTATTTTTAACACTTACTTACTGTTTTAAAATTTTAGTTTTATGTTATGAAATGTAATGTACTTATGGAAAACTTATAGAACAAATATATACAGGTTAACAAAGAACTATACAGTGAACACTTTTATGTAATATAATTACATTTCCATGTGATTCTTTTCCAAATCAACAACTACAACATCACCAGTAACCCAGAAGCCCCCTGTGTATCTTTCCTGGATAATCACATTCTCCTTCATTGAAGAGATCATCACTATCCCAGATGTGGTGCTGATAATTTTCTATGCCTTTTTTTTTTTTTAATTTTTCTGGT